TTATCCTCTCCTCCCTGTGTGTCCTAGGATGGAGGGGATGGGCCTGGGTACTCCACTGACTGCCCAGCCGGCCTCTGTCCTTCCCCAGCCTCCTCCACAACCTCCGGAGCCACACTTCCACTCCCTGTTGGCTGTTCCTCCTCTCCCTCAGAGTCAGTCTCCACCAGGGGCATGACAAAATGTTTGGTTCTCATTCAGCTAAAGCTTCTTGGATGAGAAGTGAAATGTTTTCAAGGAAAAAAAAACAAGAAAATCCAATTGTCTTTTGAAAAACCACCTTTGGGGCCACCATGACCTGGGTGATTAAGAATCTCCATAGACATCTATTTTTTCCTTATATTGTTACCTAAGAACTGTGATACCCAGGAAAATGGGTTAATGTCTTGGCTATAGCATATGGCCCAAGAATTAGGATGGATCTTCTACTAATGCATGCAGAGTGGAAAATGTTCAGAGCTGTACATTTTCAGACATGTGTAACAAGCAGAGAAGCAGTGTTTTTTTTTTAAAAAAACAGAATTACAGTCATCCTGCATTAGTCAGGTTGATATTAGGCTGTTGGGACATGTCCAGTCAGACATCTGGAGTTTTGCAGGCATTCAGCTTGGATTTAAATCATGCCAGTCATTAGTCCTGTGTTATCCTGATATTTTTGAATCAACAAGAGGTGGAGAAAGGACTGCCTTAAATCTGGTAGACCAGTCGCTACTTGATGCAGGAAGCATAGGGCACGGCATCTGTCGTGGATGATGGGTCTGACTCTGCTTGGAAAAAAAAATAGTGTAGTCATTGTGTATTATTAAAACTACTTGTAGACTTTCTCCTACATCCAGCTGAAATCTGTCCCTTATGACTTTTAGGATGCATCTTGCACTTGGTGGCAGCAGAAGACGCATCTTGGTTGTATTGTAAAGCAGCAGTTTCACAATTGTCATGCCCCTGTCAGAGCCTGAATCCAAGGAGGAAGTTGAACAGCTGACGGGGAGTGGGAGTGTAGCTCCGTTGGATGTGGAGGAAACTGGGGAAGGGCAAAGTCCATCTGGGCAGAGCAGAGAGAGGTAGAACAAGGGAGAGGGAGTTCAGAGGAAGACCCAGGCCCACCCCCTCTTTATCTTAGGGCACGCAGGGAGGAGCAGAGAAGAGAGCAATGTGGGTTGCATGGCTTACGGGGGAGAAAAGGGCCCTGATTCCCTTTATTAGCCACACCTGGGAAGAGAGTTTAAAAGAGATGCGAGCCGAGTGTGGCAGCTGCTGGGAGCAAATGTGAATTTATCTTGTGTTGACTTTGGTTATCTGTGTTCCTGGCATCTTCCCAACTGTTCCTTCTCCTGCCCTGCCAGACTAATTACCTCATTTTGCCTTGATTGGACTTATAGTTACAGTTTTTGTTGACCACGTTTTGGACTTGATTCTCTGCCCCCAAAGACTGTTCCTGGGAGAGTTTTTCTCCAGCCAGAAGGGAACAAAGTTGAAGCTAACAAAGGGGCTCCTACTGATTATCTGATTGTGTTGCCTTTGTGCCACGCCCCTTTGGGTCATCACACCAACATTTTTAGCACCAAGGACCGATTTCATGGAAAACAATTTTCCCACACCCTGGGGAATGGTGAGGATGGTTTTGGTTTCGCTTCACTCGCTCGTCACTCACGTGCAAGTGTGCGGTCTGGATCCTACCAGGCCACAGACTGGTTCCTGGCCTGGGGGTTGAGGGCCCCTGTTATAAAGGATAACACTTGTGTGAAGTTGTCTTAGTCCACAGCCCCATTCTTATTCCCCGCAATAAATCACTCCAGTTCCACCAAGTCCTTGAAACACCCTTTCCTATACTTTGCACTTTTTGTCAGTACCTTCTCCATTTGTTCTGCAACAGTGAGGACAATTTACCAATGGAACAGCTTGGAGGTTACCAAGAAGTGACTGGGTAGTCCTTCGTCCGGAATGATATAGGGTGCCCTGCTTGGACTAGAAGACTTCTAAGGTCCCTTCCAACCTTATTATTCTATGTTCTAAATAATTACTGCTAACTATTAGTAACCAGTGGCTATCTAACAGAGTTTCTCATGTTAGAGGTTTGCATTAGAGGTATTATCACTTCTGGCCACTCTATATTGGCTTAAGATGGGTATCCATTGCAGAGATCTATGTCCAAAGCATGTATTGTATCTTTTCTGTAGCCGCATATTGGCTAAAAAAGGGCCTTGCAGCCACTTTGCTGGAGATGGCACTGCCATGCTGAGCAAGCTTGTAGCACCCCCTCCTGGCATGTTCCAAAAGCATGTTCTCACATGCGTGGCTTTCTAGAGACATTTCCCCACATTGCATTGTAGGAAATAATCACATTCCCTATTGTGCTGTCCAGACAGTGTATGGGAATTGGATAGTTAGGTAGCAGTTGTGAGCTGTCCCCTTAAGGGAATGCATCATGGTAAATGTAGTTAAGGTATCCTGGGAAATGTGGTCCGTATCACGTGACCACATCTGTAATCCTGATTGGTCACTAAATTGACCCTCAATGGGTAGGAGGACTTTTCCTCACTCTTGGCTGAACTCACGGACTCGTGGTAACTGTTCCACTTCTATCGCCACGAGATGAGAGAAAAAGGATAGAAGATAATCATCTTTTTACCTACAAGACAGCTATACAAAGGATTGATCATTAAAGAAGAACTTCGTCACAAATGTGAGTTATGAGGATACCTGATGAACCAATAAATGTACTTTGTTATGGGCGTCTTGTTGAGTTTATCTATCTTCATCTGCACAACTTACAAATCCACCACTGTACAGAATATAGAACAGTAAAAAGATGATTATCTTCTATCCTTTTTCTCTCATCTCCTGGCAATAGAAGTGGAACAGTTACGACGAGTCCGTGAGTTTAGCCAAGAGTGAGGAAAACTCCTCCTACCCATTGAGGGTCAATTTAGTGACCAATCAAGATTACAGATGTGGTCACGTGATATGGACTACATTTCCCAGGATACCTTGACTACATTTACCATGATGCATTTCCTTAAGGGGACAGCTCACAATTGCTACCTAACTACCCAATTCCCATACTGGACAGCACACTTACATTTAATTCATGATTATTATAACTTCAAATTTGGTCAAGTAACATTTTGTTCTGTCTGGACTCTATCCACATTTTTCCTTTGCCCTGTCTACTTTTCCTATGCCAGTACAAGTAATCCTTGACTTATGACCACAACTGAGCCTCAAAGTTTCTGCTGCTGAGCGAGATGTTTGTTAAGTGTGTTTTTCTCCAAGTTACGATTTTTAATGCCACTGTTGTTAAGTGAATCATTGCAGGTGTTAAGTTGGGGACACAGTTGTTAAGTGAATCTGGCTCCCCCATGAACTTTGCTCGTTTAGAAGGTCGCAAAAGGGGATCATGTAAGCTTGGGGCACTGCAACCGTCATAAATCTGAGACCGTTGCCAACCGGATGAGTTTTGATCACATGACGATGGAGTGTCTGTGATGGTCATAAGTATGCAAAATGGTCATTAGTCACTTCTTTCAGTGCCGTTGAACTTCGAAAAATCAGTAAATAAACAGTGATAGATTTGAAGATTAGTAGCTTGAGTTGGTGGCTCAGTGGCTAAGATGCTGAGCTTGTCAACAGAAAGGTCAGCAGTTCGGCGGTTCGAATCCCTAGCACCGTGTAACAGAGTGAGCTCCCGTTACTTGTCCCAGCTTCTGCCAACCTAGCAATTCGAAATCATGTAAAAAAATGCAAGTAGAAAAATAGGGACCACTTTGCACCCTCAGCATTTAGTCCTGCTAGCCACAGGACCACGGAGATGTCTTTGGACAGTGCTGGCTCTTTGGCTTTATAACGGAGATGAGCACCACTCCCTAGAGCCGAAATGACTAGCACGTATGTGCGAGGGGAATCTTTACCTTTAGCTCAGGTTGGTAGTTGGGCTATTGGTTTGAGCTCCAAGCTTGGCAATTTGGTTGTAAGTCAAGGACTACCTACCAATGATGCAGGTTAGCAACGAGCTACTTCTGGGCTAATTCTGTTATTTTGGAGAATATTGCTTGTTCTCTGTTAACACTCCTTAGTCAAGGAAGAAGCCAAACAGAAGGTAGAAAACGTGCCCTCCCTCCCTTAGGTTTGATTATTTCCCAGTTATTTTAGAAGTCTGTGGAGACGTCTTGAACTTCTGGTTATCCTAACTGGGCCTTCATCAAATCCAAAAAAAGGAGCCAACAAGAGCTCCTCCATTACAGACAAAGAAGAGAACAACAAATGTTAGCAACATTGACTTTCCATACGTTGTAGGATTATCTGAAAAGCTCAGGATGGTTTTCAACCAATACAACATGCACGTACACTTTAAACCAGGGGTCTCCGACCGTGGCAACTTTAAACCTGGAAGACTTCAACTTTTAGAATTCCCACTTTCCTGCCTGGGGTATTCTGGAAGTTGAAGTCTGCCAAGCTTAAAGTTGCCAAGGTTGGAGACCCCTGGTTTAAAGCAGTGGTGGGGTTCAATTTTTTTTTACTACCGGTTGTGTGGGTGTGGCATGGCTTGGTGGGTGTGGCAGGGGAAGGATACTGCAAAATCTCCATTCCCTCCCCGCCCCTCTAACCTGCTTTCCATCTCCATTCTCCTGTGCAGGGGAGCAAAAGAAGACCCAGCCAATCAGCTGGGACTCGGGAGGCAGAGAATAGATGGGGTTGGTGGGGCCAGTCAGAGGTGGTATTGGACAGTTGTCCGAACTGCTCAAAATTTCCGCTACCAGTTCTCCAGAACTGGTCAGAACCTGCTGAATACCACCTCTGGTTTAAACCCAAGAATACACCAAGGCAGATACTTGCACAAACTGGCTGTCATGTCTAGGTCATTAAATAAATCGTTATAAGTCAAGAACTACCTGAAGACTAGTTCCAAGACTAGGTATGTCTCCTCCCCAAAGTTGTGTCTTGAAGCGTAGAGCCTCTCTCTTCTCCTGTACATCATCTTCTTTCTTTTTTTCTCCTTCTTGTAGACTCGGATGCAGAGTTTGCAACCTGACCCCAAAGCTCAGTACCGGAGCGTCTTTGAGGCCTTGAGGAAGATCATCCGCACGGAAGGCCTCTGGAGGCCGCTGCGTGGAATTAACGTCACCGTCTTTGGCGCCGGCCCAGCCCACGCCTTGTATTTTGCCTGCTATGAAAAAATGAAACGCACTTTAAGTGACATTATTCAACCTGGAGGCAACAGCCACCTGGCCAACGGTATATTGACATAACCCCATGGGTGCCATCTTGGTGCTTTGACTCAACTTGCGTACTTTTTCATGTGGTCTGACATCTTCAGCATGCAATTTCTGCTTCTGGAGAGACAAAAACAAGACGCTTGGAAAGACTCCGTCTTTGGCAACCTAGGCGTTCTTGCTACCTTCAACCTCTTGTCTATTTCCTACAGGCACCTGCTCAGTTTTAGAGGCACGCATGTATGAAGAATACCGAAGATACGTAGTGCTCCAGTTCCTCTAAAAGTTAGATGTTCAAGTGTTTTGATCATAAATACCTCTGATTGGGCTCTGGGAAGGAGTTGTCTGAAACAGCTTATCGGTCCAACGTGGGCAGCTTTCTAGGAAAAATTGGTTCTTAGATTTTTGGGGTTTGCTTCTCTCCAGAAATCCTTTTTAACACTGCTAAATCTTGTCAAATTTGGCGGTTTGCAAAGAATGTGAAATTACAAGCTGGCTAGATCACTCCAATCTCCACATTTTTACTTCCCATAATAATCAGCCAGCTGTTTTTAAAAATTTACCAGTCTTTCTCTCCAGCATATGTCACTCAGAGGCATGCTGGTTCTTTAACTGGAATTTCTGCTTTTAGGATGCTTATTATGTGCTTCATGGCAAACTATGTGCTAGAATAAATTCTGTAGTCTTTTAATCGGCAGTTCACAAATTTGCATCTAATTGCGTTTCCATTATCCTCCAATTAACACAAATAGCTTTTCACTGATTTTTGTTTGTTTTATTTAGGTCTTCTTGGCACTGAATCAGTAGGATTCAGAAGGATTCTTTCAGTAGAAAGAATCAGTAGGTTGCTAATATTTAAATGTATGCCTCAAAATTCCTGTTTGGCTAAAAGACAGATACATACTTGCTTGAGATAAACACTTACATTATTTTCCATTAGTTAAGATGATGTTAGCATTTGTTAATCATTTCTCAGTTCATTAATCCACAGCAGAGATGTCCAATCTTGGTAACTTTAACCAAGTTAAACTTGGTAACTTGTAGACTTCAATGCCCAGAATTTCCCAGCCAACATGAGAGTTGAAGTCCTCAAGTCCTATAGATGCTGAAATTGAAAATGGTGCACTTGTCTTAGTATATAAGAGATGCATATTTTTAATCTCCTTAAATATGCAATTAAAGAGATAATTGAGCCATGGCAGCACAGTGGTTACAATGCAGTAGTATAGGCTAACTCTGCCCACAGCCAGGAATTTGATTTTGACCAGCTCAAGGTTGACTCAGCCTTCCGTCCTTCCAAGGTTGGTAAAATGAGGACCCAGATTTTGGGTGGCAATATGCCAATCTTATTTCTGCTACCATGTTGGATGCCTTACTTCTTGTTCCCACTAGATGCACCTCCTTAGGAAAGGTGAACCGCAGCGTTCCTTGCCTTCTTGCTCTGGTAGGATGTTAGGACGTAAAGTTTGAATTACATGTCTGGAACAGGTAATTATGTGATGCTTAAGCATATTAAAAAGGTGGAGTGTGATCAAAGCACCATCTTCATTTTGAGGGAATCACTCCCATGTTTTCTGAAGGTGTTCTTAATGGGGCCAGGGTGCTGTTGTGGTCTTCACAATAGTTGCCTCATTGGAAGAGGTCCTTGGAGGTCAACCTAGATTAGTGATTTTTTTCTGGAGATTATTTCCGGCTGAGATGGTAATAAACAAGGCATCACGAAGACACTCCTTGCTTCACACCAGAGTGTTCTTCAGTGTTACTTGGGATTATAATTATGGTATTTAAACTTGCATAGTCTAAGAAGTTGTTTATAACTTTCTTAGCATCCACCAATATTAATAATATGTATTTTTCAAGATGATGCCTGTTTCTCTTTATTTGAGAACAATGAATACCACACAATAATGTGATATTCCCGAAGCTTTCATTGTATAATGATTTACCTTAAAAAGTCTCTAGATGGCAAGTTGTCTGAATGCATCTTTTGCAGTGTTGATGTGTGGGTAAGAGAGAAAACATTCTAGCTGATCAGAATATAATTTCAGATTAATTTTTTTGATTTTGCCCTCCAAGCAGTAGATCAAGGTGAGATGATTAGTGGGTCATCCTCCATGGCTTAACTTTGGAATTCTGGAAAGAGACAATTGTTTTATTCCCAAGAGGAATAATTTCAAGTAAAGTTTTTTTTTTCTGGCTGAGATAAAACATTTTTAGATGTGGCCTTCCTACATAATGCAGAATTTGGGGTTATGCAAGATTAATAATTTGAAGTTCAATATAATTTTAATGAAGGGTGCTGAGTGCTATTCTCATGCTTAGTTTCATTTGAAGATGCAAGTGGCATTATGTATTTTACATGGATAGTTGACATTTTATTTCAATAATCACTAAGTTTTTTCCATATAGTGTTCATTAGATTGAGGGGGAAAAGGATATAGATATCACTTTCCCGACCATAAGAGGAAATTGTCAATTGCCCTGTGAATCCTTGAGATACACACTTAAATGATTTTCCATTCGTTAAGATTATGTTAACATTTGTTAATTATTTCTCAGTGCATTAATCCACAGCAGAGATTCCAACCTTGGTAAATTTAAGACTTGTAGACTTCAACTCCCAGAATTTCCCAGCCAGCATGAGAGTTGAAGTCCTCAAGTCCTATAGTTGACAAGATTAGACATCTTTGATCTACAGGAATAGCTTTTGCTGTCATTATTAAGGCAATTCTGAATATTCTCTGAAACCATAAAGGAAATTCTTTGTCATATGTTATGGCTGATATTGAGTCCAAATGGTTATATTTCTGGTTATATATAGCAAAGGTTTTTTAATTAACTTGTGCCCTTTGAGAGATTTGCTGAATGCTGCCGTAGTTGGTGAGGTTAGGGGAAAAATAATGCCAGCTAACATTTTCTATCGCACTGAAAGTTCTAATTTAATGGTAATTTTTGAAAGAATTCTGATTGACTGCCAGCAGTGCATAGCTCCAGGTTGTATATTTCTAGCTTCTGTAAATCTTAGGCAACATATTCTTTTTTAAAAATTAGAAACAAACAAACCCTATTCATTCTTCCCAGCCATGCTGTTGGTAAGTTCATGGAAATTTTCGACATTTTAAAAAAAATTTATGGAGGTTTTTCATTTAGTACTTTCAGATTTTTTAAAAATGATTTCACAGCTGTTAAACATAATTATTTATATTCTTTTTGTATGTGACTCTTAGTGTATGTATATCTGTGATGCTGTATGTTCGTTTTCAAATGATCTGCAACACATTAGGTTGGTTTCCAAGATGTATAATGAGCCTGGAGTCTGATATGCTAAGTGCTAATCATGAAGGGTAGGCTGTTTTGTGCAGAGAACCAAGGATGGCTTGTCAAAACTTGCTTTGTGAAAAGGGGTCTGTCTTCATTTCTTGTTTTGCAGGCATGGCTGGGAGTATGGCTACCCTTCTTCACGACGGTGTCATGAATCCAGCAGAAGGTAATGCTGTTTGGGGCAAGTGGTCCATGGAGGCCCGAGAGAAGGGAAGGATAATTAAAAATGATCTGAGATATGCATTGCATTGCAGTGGTGCGGGATTGAGCCGTGGTGGCGCAGTAGTTTGAGTGCAGTACTACAGGCTACTTCTGTTGCCTGCTGGCTGCCTGCAATTTGACAGCTCGAATCTCACTAGCCTCAAGGTTGACTCAGCCTTCCATCCTTCCGAGGTGGGTAAAATGAGGACCCAGATTGTTGGGGGCAAGAGGCTGACTCTGTAAACTGCTTAAAGAGGGCTGTAAAGCACTGTGAAGCGGTATATAAGTCTAAGTGCTATGGCTTTTGCACACCAGGGTTCCAGATGTCAGAAGATTCTAAGATAAAAAGAATATATCTTAACATCATTGGGTTGTAACAAGTGTATAGCAAAATAAATTCTTTCTAGAGATTATCAGAAAGATACTGTGGGGTCCTTGGTAATCTCTGAGATTGGTTGTTTTCTTGCTACTATTCAAGTAGGTAAGTTCAGCAGATGTGTTGATGAGGTTATCTAGTTGGGTAATGAAACATCTGCAAACAAAGAACCAAGCTCAGAGAGCACCAAGGACCCCACAGTTCAACCCTGAACTACAAATATTCTGTTCTAGTGAATATTTATGAAGAGAACATTTTAGCCAAAACTTATCCTTGTCCTTTCCAAGAACAACTCTTCGCTCCATGAAAGGAGGCCTATAAATGTGCTTGCAATATGGCAGTGGGGAAAACATCCCTGCCAGTCAGGATGCAGCCTTAAAAATAGTCAATACTCTCTCGTCTTTTGCTTGGAAAGGATCTGAGTTGGTGCATCCTGATTAGGCAAGTGATAAATCACACTGCGGCCACTGCAACTTTCCTGCCCTGCTCCCAGGCGGCCCTTCATGAATCGGTATCTTCCACTCAAGTGTGCGGCCTTGATCTAACTTGGATTTCTTTTGTTGTTTCTTGTCTCCTGTGTTGTTCCTTCGCTGTGCTTTCCGTTTCCATCCGGGGGATGTGCACGATACCTGATCCTCTGGATGCCAGTGGTGAAGCAGCGCATGCAGATGTACAATTCTCCACACAAGACAGTCATGGAGTGCATCCGGACAGTGCATCGGACTGAAGGCTTGGGGGCCTTTTACCGTAGCTACACCACCCAGCTCACCATGAACATCCCTTTCCAAGCCATCCATTTCATCACCTACGAGTTCATGCAGGAGCAGATGAACCCCCAGCGGCAATACAACCCTCGCTCGCACATCATTTCGGGCGCCGTGGCAGGCGCCGTGGCAGCAGCTGCCACCACCCCTTTAGACGTTTGCAAGACCTTGCTCAACACGCAGGAGAACCTGGTGTTGAGCTCTGTGAACATTAGCGGGCACCTCTCTGGCATGGCCAATGCCTTTAGAACAGTCTATCAACTGGGAGGGGTCACCGGGTATTTTAAGGGGGTCCAAGCACGTGTGATCTACCAGATGCCTTCAACTGCCATTGCCTGGTCTGTCTATGAATTTTTCAAGTACGTCCTCACCAAACGCCAGTTGAAGAAAGGAGCTCATTGTTGACGGATCACCCGTAGCAAACTGCAGACCGAATCTCTGAGAAAGCTGTTGGCCTCTTTCTCTCTCTCTCTCTGTGTGTGTGTGTGTAAACTTCACCAGGTTCTTTATGGCCATTTGTAAAGAGAGCTGGTGGATCCCTGACTGGATTACACGTGTGCGTGTGTTTGTGTGTGCGTGCACCGAAGGGTGTGGTTTGGAGAGGAAGGGGCTCGCGCTCTTCCCCATTCTCCTCCTGCTTTTGCTAAATCAAAATGTTTATTCTTTTAGACCCTGTATTTATAGTTTTCTAGAGTATGGATAAGTGTGATGAGATTTGTACAAGTTTGTACTTATTTTTTCACTGGGATGCTTGGGGGGGGGGGGGGGCTCACGGGGGGGGGGGTTGCGGGGGGGGAAGACAAAATGCTTCTGCTTTGGGCAGCTTTTCCAAAAAAGGCAATGCCTTCAAACCGAACAGAGACATTACGTGATGGATAAAATAGATGGATAATATTTATCCTTTATTTTTCTATTATTATCTTTTTTAAGGAAAAAAAAAATCGTGCCAGGGTGACTGCTTTGTGAATTTTAAAGGGCTTTACTGTTTTTGTTGTTCCATTGTTAAGAAGAGTGTTTTCCTCCTAAACTAGTACAGCGCCGAGCACATCTGGTTTGATATTATACTGGCTGTTCATGTTTTTTTCTTTTCCTTCCAATGTACTTGAAGGGATTTCAGGCCGGGCGTGCGTGTCTGTGTGGGGCGGAGAGGAACACACACAAAATACTTAGATTATGGCTCTTAGGATCAAAGGACAGTCTCTTTGTGTAGGTGGGATGCTGAAATACACAAAAAAAGGAGCTTGGTTTTTTCGTGTGGCAAGAGCTACGGATGTCACCTTGACTTTTGTCACTGTCTCTCTCTCTCTCTCTCACACACACACACACACAAAACCCCCACCCTCCAGATCTCTTGTTTCAGTCTCTCCCAAGGGGTTTATGTTACATTTTCCCTCCTCCTTAAGCATGTCTGAACTGGGCTGCTTCTGATAATACCCATTCAAAACTCTTTTTCTTTGGTCGCGCTTTAGCAGGTGTTAAACCTCTGAAGGTACTCCAATGAATTCCATTTCATTTTGGGATTGCCATTGTAGTCTTTAATTTAGTTTTGCTTCTCACCAAAGCTCTTCTCCCCTTCGGCCTCCCTTCTCTCTACCCCCTTCCAGCCAGGCGTACTATTATATGCAAGTATATTGCACTTGTGCGTAAATGAACACTCAACAATTGTGCTCAGGAATGGGGGCATTAGGTTTACATTTCTGCAATAAAGCTTGCCTCAGATTGCTTCTCCAAAGAAATACTGACAGCCATTCGCTGGTGTTCTATTTTGGCACTGAAAACCCTTAGTGAAGGAAGGGCTTCAAGTCGCAACTTAAGAAAAAGAGAAATGAGGGTGAGACGGTGCATCTGTGAGCATCCCTTTTCGGGTACTTGAGCTGTTAAAATGAAGATGACTAGAGTCATTTTAGCACTTGGGACAAATTTGGGTGCGCCACTGTGAAAACTTAAAAGAGTCCTAAAAGAATGTTTCCCCACCCTTCTTATCTAAAGAGTATTGTGTGGAAACAGATTGCAACTGGAAATCATGTCCTCAGTTTACTCGCCACACCTTGGATTTTGCTAACTAAGGAAGTGGCCTCCAAAACTTTTAGGCACCTGGAAGAGATTCTGTGGTGAGAGGTTTTTCCGTGAGGGGACGTGGTTTTGTGTCACAGATGGGGCTTTGCTTGATTGCGTGGCCCGGGCGCTGGCATGCCGCAGCCCAGTACCAGATCCCTTTTCTAAGGTTTTTTACAAATAACCTGTCCTTGCACACACCATGCATTTAATGGGAATGCTGTCCAGCATTATCTATCATGAGTTGCTCATCCCCTTTTGTGTATAAGGCCAGAAACTTAGTCTTAAAGCTTGAATTGTAAATGTTGACTTCTTAGATCAGGATGCTTTCAGAAAACGTAGTTTCCCAGCCCTGATGGAAATGAAACAAAACAATAACTCGAGAAATATTTCCTTGGTGACCTCAGGAAATACTGCTTTCTTGCAGTAAATATTGTAAAGATTGACATCAATATTTTCCAATTGGGCTTTTCCCCCCAACTGGGCCAGGATTGCAGTGGAGAATTCCCAGCCAGCCTTGAGAGGAAAAAAAGTTTGAAGGGGTATGCCTTCATAACCAGCTACATTTTATTCAAAAATAAAAATAAAAAATTAGAGAATTTACAATGCCAACAGATTGCTTTTAAGTCATGACATTATATTTGCAGGCTTTGGAAAGTTTTTTTTTAAAGCAGAACCAGGTTTAAATCAGTTTTTTTTTTAAGTTGGTAATTGTAAGATGAGGGGACTTCAACTTCCAGAAGTAGAGTTGCTAAGTTTGAAGAAACACTGGTTTTAAAATTTCATTGTACTTAAGGACTGAGTTCCAGTTTGTTCAACAAAAAGAAAAAAAAATATGGGTTGAATTGCTGGCTGATTCTTCTGAAGGCCAGAGTACAAGTAGGGTCTGTAACAAACCAGTGTTGTTAAATTAGAACTGTTCTTCAAAAAATCTAACTTTTTAAAGTCTAACTTTAAAACACAAACAAATAATGGGTGGAAGGTTTCTGGGACAATACTCCTTTCCGCTCCCTCCCTGGTGCTTTTTGGCCTTAGAAATACTCCTCAAATAATGTACCCACCAAGATTCTTACAAGGAGTTCTCTTCCTAGAAGGGGTCTGGATTGAAGGAGAACATAGATGGTGACATGTACGAGAGAAAATATGAATTAGCGGTGGAAGGAACAGTGGATAGTTAAGCTGCTCTCCATGTGGGTGAGCCATTTTTGACTTCTTCAAGGGTCTTCAACCTTGGCAACTTTAAGACTTGTGGACTTCAACTCCCACTGGGGAGTCCACAAGTCTTAAAGTTGCCAAGGTTGGAGTTCTTGTTAGTTGCAAAGTCGTGTCCGACCCACCGCGACCCCATGGACAACATTCCTCCAGGCCTTCCTATCTTCTACCGTCTTCTGGAGTCCATTTAAGCTTACACTGACTGCTTCAGTGACTCCATCCAGCCACCTCATTCTCTGTCGTGCTCTTCTTCTTTTGCCCTCAACCATTCCCAGCATTAGGCTCTTCTCCAGCGAGTCCTTCCTTCTCATTAGGTGGCCAAAGTATTTGAATTTCATCTTCAGGATCTGGACTTCTAAAGTTCTAAACCTTTCTCATCATTGCCTATCTTATGGGGACAGATTTAGCACCTTTGGCCTGCTCAGAATGCAACCTGTTAAAACTTTTTCCCTCAGTAAGGAGGAACTGATTTCGAATCAAGTTCCTTGAATGAGTTCCCTGAATAATTATTTTTTTTAAAAAAAAATGTGCTTATAAGCTAAACCCGAATGTGTAAGTGTTACCCTGAAGTATGTTGGACTTGAAGTATTTGCAGGGAAAATTCACAACAAGGCCTCTGTGAATTCTGAGTGGGTTGGATATTATTATTTTCTTTCTAACAACAGCAACCCCAAAATGCATAACTGAATAACAACGCAGGCGGTCCTTGACTTACGTTTATTTAGTGGCCGTTCAAATTTACAGCAGCACTGAAAAATGTGACTTATGTCCGTTTTTCACCCTCACGACTGTTGCAGCCTCCTCCTGGTCACATGCTCAACATTCAGGCGCTTGGCAACTGATTCATATTTATGACGGTTGCTGTGTCCTGGCAAGGCAATGGCGAAGCAACAACCGTGATACTATCTTATCAACTCCCCTGATTCACTTATGGCAAGAAAGGCGGTAAAAATGGGGCACTTAACAAATGTCTTGCCTAACCACTGAAACTTTGGGCTGAGTTGTTGGTCGTAAGTCGAGGACTATCTGTGGTTCTAAAAAATGCCTAGATCAGCATTCTGAATCCTCCTTCTCTGCTGTGTTGAGTCCCACTGTGTGCTGGGCTAGAATTCCCTACTAAGATACAACCTCTAATAGCGGCTCCCACCAAAGAAAGGCCTTTTAAACTTTAAAGAATGAAGTGAGGCTCTGCAAATGTGGAAGTACATATCCTGCTGCTTTTTGTACGCTACAGACGCACATTTTAAAAGTGAATTTCTTTTTTTTTTTTTTTTTTTGTGGAAAGCTGACATTTGCTGTTTGAAAATTGCTGCCTTATACATTTTTATCAATGTAGACTTTTCCCCAGGAATGTTTGTACGTGTATATATACCGTCATGCTTGTGCGTGTGTACACACAAACACACACTTATACCCAGCCATAAGAAACTATGTTTTGAAATGCTGCTACAGTTAAAACACTGGGGCTCAAGTAATAAAATAAATGTGTTTGATTTATTAGATCAAGATCATTTCCCCCCCCCCCCCAAATGGCTGCTAAAAATGCTCATTGACTTAAAATGTTTTTTGGGGGGCCATTATTGTGGCGGGTCTGGCTTTTCCTTTCTCCTTTGAACAGTGGCTGATGATATTTGCATGTGTTTCCCCCATTTAATTTACAGAACTAGAAAGGAACGTTGAGGATGGCTGAACATACTAACAAGGGGAAATATTTGTAGCTCAGGGTTGACAACAGGGGCCCTTGGTGATCTCTGAGCTTGCTTATTTCCTTGCGGACATTTCATTACCCAAACTAGATAACACCATCTAGAGTAGCATTGATGATGTTACCTAGTTCGGCTAATGAAATGTCTGCAAGAAAACAAATAAGCTCAGAGAGTACCAAGGACCCCTCATGACTGAACATACTTAGAGAGTAAGGAAGATGACCTTGACAGAGATAGACAAATGGAGCCTGTATGTCTATCCTCTTATTTTTTCATGTCGTTACCAGGGTTTAGTTCTCAGGTGGCACTGGTAGATTAGAAAAAGACAGGAAGCACACGTTCCCTTTGACTTGGCGGAGAATTTCATATTTTATGGTAAGGGTGGGGAATTTTAACAGTTTGAGGCTCACCGTTTGTAGGTATAGTGGCCAAGACCCACTATAACAAGGCACAGAGAAGAATTTCAAGATGTTCCATTGTCTCTTGACCTTTTGGAAGATCTCCAAAAGGTTATTTGATGGGCCTATTGTATTGTACTCGCAACATTGGATATTTCTTGGCTTAGAATGGCAAGAAGTTGTGTCATCAATGTTGAGCCATCACAATTAAAAGAGGCCTCCCAAAATTGCAAAAGGGTGTGTGTGTGTGTAGCTGAGTCAAGATTGTCAGTCCCGTTGAAGGAATGGTAATACTCGAGATTCCAATTGAAAAGAATATTTTGTTAGTAAGGGTTAAACCCCAGAGTTCTCAGTGTTCTCTGAACTTGGTGGTTGGCTTAAGAATCTTTCGTTACCCAACTAGATAACACGATGATGTTACCTTGCTGAGTAATAATGTACCTAGTTGGTAACGTAACCAAGTATTCCACTCTAGATCATTACATCACTAATTGTTGGAATCTCACAATGTTTACTTGCTTCTAGTGTCAACTAGAATCGTGGTGGTAGCACTCTTTTATCGTATTGTGGGGCGATAGGATTTGAATCTGGGCTAATAAACTGGTTTCTTAAATGCAGAGGGAGATTCGTTTCATTCAGCTCTTCAGTTTCTACACCACCAAACAATGCAGAACCTTAGGTGGTTGACTCATGTAGGTTAATAATAAAATATCCACAGTAGGAATTTTCCCCAAAACCCAAATTATCCACAGCAGGGGTCTCCAACCGTGGCAACTTTAAGACTTGTGGATTTCAATTCCCAGAGTTGAAGTCCACAAGTCTTAAAGTTGCCAAGGTTGGAGACCCCTGATCCACAGTAATAAATTTCAAAGTTAAATAGTAGAGCTTGGTAGAAGACGCCTCAGCCATGCAATCGTCTTAGAAGAATCTGGTCCATGGCTGTCCAGCCTGGGCAACTTTTTAAGACTTGTGGACTTCAACTTCCAGAATCCCCCAGCCAGCCATGCTTGGACACTCCAAGTTCTACTCAATCTGCAAATAGTCTGGTGATGAAAACTGCATCCTATGCTTATTTTTAGATGGAATCAAGATGAAGAGGGCTGCTTGATTTCAACTGGGAGGGTATTCGAAAGGGCAGACGTTGTCACCGAAAAGCATGTTCCCGCCTTGGCTCCTTTCACAAGAAACAGTTTTCCCTGGGGCAACCAGGTTGGTTGTGATCAGAAGAATCATTTTGCATGTCAGCATTTGCCAAACTGCAAAACCACCATTTTATGTAATATCTTTTTTTTCCAGAATAAAGGGAATAATACAAAGGAAAAGGAAAGTAAAATTTAAAAAAAATGAAAGAAAAGTGTTAAATAAGTAATATAAATAAATAAACAATGGCATGACAAAGTAGCAATGGTGGTGCATTGAAAGATCTGCATGAAATACCATTTGCCTGCAAGCAAGTATTGCTGAGACCATAAGGTAGAGAAAGTAATAGAAAATGAGGAAGCTAAATTGCTCTGGCATTTTAGAATTCAACAGACAGGCACCTGCCACATAATGTCCCAGACTTAGCAATTGTTGATAAGAAAGACAAAAAAGTCTGGATTGTGGACAAGAATAAAGCAGAATAAAAGAGAAAGAACCGGAGAAGAAAAACAAAATTACAAACACTTGCAAATATAAAAGGACTGTGGCAAAAGAAAGCAAAAATAGTCCCAATAGTTTGTTTGTTTTATTCATTTATTTGTTGAGCTTGTATTAGGTAACAAATCTAAGTATAAACGTGATGATTAATACATGAAATGGATACAAATAAAAGGGAACATTACGACAGGGACAGTAGGCACGTTGGTGCATTTATGCACGCTTATGCAACCTGTTGCCATCCCAAAACAACACTTCAACAGCATTGGCATTGGCAAATCCGCTATCAGTCCATTCATTCAAGCAATCAATCAATTAGAATACAGCTGGAAGGGACCTTGCAGGTTTTCTAACCCAACCCAATTAGCTCAAGCAAATGACCCTATACCAGTGGTGGCTAACCTTTTTCGGCTCCCATGCCGATAATTGTGTGCACGCTCGTGCAAATGAGCATGTGTACAATTATCCAATGAGTTTGGTGGTCCCTGAGCTCCAAATGCTTGGCGACCCCTGATTTATAAAGTGGCACTAATACTTCATGTGTTGCAAAATTGCAAAAGGCAGCTTTACCTGAAGAGTTTACATCCTGTAACAATACCTTTAACACCATCAAGCATCAACATC